TACTTACTTTAAAAGATTTACTTTAGTGAGCTAAAACTTGGTGAACTGCTACAAGCATCATAAAAAATGCACCGGTATTCATAAACAAGTGTCCATGCAAGATACTCCAGATTCGTTGATCAGAAGCCATCAGCAAAAACTTGCCGTGTCAGAGAACAAACCAGGTGCTAGTTTAAGTGGGAACTAGAAAAAGTCACTGGGAGTGGCTAAGACGCAATATACAAAAACCGTAAAACACTATCCCAAGGCAAGACATAAATCAGAATCTCAGAGGCAAAATGAAAAGCAGTAAACCAAAGAAACAGAGCGAATGCAATCAGGGGCGGGCATGATCATGAAAGGAGCTTGGTGAAAGCTGGAAAACAGCCCGTAGCAAAGTTTCTCGAGATCTCTGACAGGTCTATGCCTGTAAAGGGTTAACAGGTTAAAATAAGTGTTCGCAAATGTCAGGCGATATTGCTCAGAATAGGCCTTAATGGTACAAACAAATTCATTATGTATCCCTCCTCAGCTCCAGAGTTTCAAAACTATTTTACACTATTTCTTTTCGAATTGTTTTTCATGTTTAACCTCATCTACCTCTACCACTGATACTGTTTTTTTATTTAACCATGCTACTATTTTACTTGCCGATTTCACTTCTGTTTATATAGTGCAACAGCTTGAACCGATGCTTATGTGCTAAGTTAGATAATATCCTAAGACCGACTAGCTTCCTTTCTAATGATCATCTCAGAATATATAAACTGGACACAATCTAATCTTTGAATCATGAGTAACTGTGTCAACTAATCGAAGACATGATATCTCACATAAAAATTTGAACTTCGTGGGAGATAAGAATTGTTTTTTTCTTTACTGTAAGAAATCTCGAATTCTGACACTAAACGACTACATCTACAGACTATAGTCATCGTGGTGACTGGAATCAGAGAGTTTTCGATATGGCTCAGATCGAAAATTCAACTACCCATCATGAACTGATGTCGCGACTCCTTTGACAACCACTAACTTAAGTTACTGCACACACACCAATGAAGATTATTACTAACGACATTTTAGCTCAGTAAGCAAATAAATTTATGGATTTGGCTACCATCACTTATATTTTATGTTAGGTTTAGTGATGCTTATATTCGATTTCTCAAACCAAGGTAGACGAGGCAGGGTTCGAATATGTTAATTCGTGACTGAATACCGAGTACAGAGACCTCTAAAACACAAGTTTGCTTGATTTTCATTAAACGCTCAGTCAGTCAGCTACAACGTAGGACCAGGCACATTTATTCATCGGTTCAAGTAGTCATACCTCGTTAGCACAACAAGATGAACAACGGATTCATAGAAATAGTTAATTTAGTGGTTGTAGTATATAAAAGATAGGTTGTATATGAGGATATAGTATAGGAAGGAAGAACGTTAAGAGGCAATTTTAATCTCAAGGTTTAAAGGAAGATAAAGAGTGTATACACCTACACCATTGTGATCGATTCTGAGCCATGTCACCTAGTGTCTCCAACCATTGGTTACGATAGTCACGCGGACCCCAACCAGGTAGTCTGCATCTACCAACATGGCTCAGATTAGAAGTTAGTGACTTAAGCACTGATGCCACATTTTGATTTGGCCGCCCCTAACTCCTTTCCAACCATCTCCAAAACTAGTCAGCATAGCGCGTCGTGGTAATCGAACGCTGATGATCAGTTATACCATAAAGTAATAAAGCTTACTGATCATTCTGTAGGGGTCGTAAAGTATTTACTTCTAATATAATTGGGTTTAACATAAAGAGAAACTATCTGATTTCACAGGAAAGTAATTAAACTTTAAAATACATCTGCTATACTTGAACTCTTTTCTATTGTTGGAAGTACTGAGTTAGGAGTTAAAATCAAAGACTAGTAAATCGTATCTAGCCAAAATAGATGAATTAAAAGGGATAAAGTAAACATGCATTCATTACATATACAAACAAGTTGATTGTTAACAGCTTAATTATTGGGAGTGTAGGTCTTTAATATATGTAAGTCACAAAAGCACAAATCATTAATTTAACTTATGTTAACAGCCATTGGTAGGCCTTATGATTGTAAAGAAATAGAGTAGGATTCCTAGGCAGTGAAAATATGATGCTATTTAATATTTCAACGGTATGTCATGTTATCTGTTCATGTTCTTTGTTGATAGTCAGCCGTGTCATATCGGTTACAAACCTCTGTTGGTATGGAGTCAGTGATACCACTAGACTTTAACCACTATTGTACTTTCTTTAAATAATAATCATGTCTGGAATTTATAAAATATAGAGGCTTAATTGATGATGAGCTTGATACATCATTGTGAGAATCGAGCTATAAAGAATAGTCTAAAACCGTTTTCCTAATATAATCTCAATGTTAAGACTAAGAAAAGCGGCTATTACTGCAACAAATGGTAACGTAGCATACAAACTATTTGGAAATATGGGAAATTCCAATATTCTCTTGATAAATTTCTGAAACTCCAGGAAGATTATAGTTTTTAAATCAAAGATGCGAGTAATAAAAAGATACTAGAAATAATGGAAGTATGTATGACAGTGCAGTTGCACAAATTACACGAATATCAAGAACAGATACATTTGAGCTACTGCAATTATTCTTCAGTTAGTACAGTGATGAATGAACCAAACGAACTTTCATCTTATCATAAGCAAATGGAGAATTTATTCTGCCACAAATCATGCTCGACATTACAATGTAATCCACAAAAATTACTCAGACGATATACACTAATATGCCAAAGTTAAGTAGTTACAATTCAGTGACATACTTCTAATGGATACTATTCCACAGGCTGAAAAAGTAAGTCATGGGACTAGAACAGTATAAAAATTATTTGTCAGCAATTCCCTGCCTAAATAAAGACAGTGAACTCTTGGAAAGGGTTCAGAGAACAGCAACTAGGCTGATTCCCGGAATAGCGAAGCTCCCGTATGGTACTAGACTTACCAAGCTAAACCTATTCCCGCTGTCATATAGAAGAATCAGAGGCGACTTGATTACAGTTTTCAAATTGCTTAATGACAAATTTGCACATGATATGCAATCATTTTTCTTGTCTTCAAAAACAGATAATCTACGAGGACACTCCAAAAAAGTTCACAAGCCCCGAACGAATTACTTTTACGCTAACTACCGACTTTCCCATCGAATCATCAACGAGTGGAATTCATTACCTCGGCACGTGGTTGAGGCTCCATCCGTCGACTCCTTCAAAAGAAAGTTGTATCAGCTGAGAGACCATCAATGCCAGGACTAACACAGGCCATCAAGCCTCCTGTCCTTTCAAAACTGAAACTGAAACACGGCTTACGTTACAGGGTCAAGCTTATTAAGAAACTGCCGGTATAGTTTAATACTCGATTTGTCGATCCATGAACTCCTTCCTATAAAACTATGACGCTAGTGAAGCAAATTCAAAACGAATGAACATGTAAAACCTCTACTAGTTATTATTCTGTCTATGACACCTCAAATATAATTGTCAAGTAGAAAACTCCAGAACAAGATCAATAAAGCTTTCGAAGCAGTCAGTGTCCCAAGTTTGTACAATAAACAAGAGAAACATGCAAGTGTTATGTGTTTCTTTAAATGCTAATCATCAGTTGATGACGTTGCGCCTATTCATTTAACAAGATTGATAGTGTAACAGAATAGAGCACATCATTGTATACACATAACACGACACTAAACGGAAGTAATCAGTTTCAGTCCCGATAGTAAATAGGATGACAAATTTTTACAGCAAACTAGTCCATTACGACGCGAAGTCTCAAAAACATCATCTTAACATAATAAGGATCAAAAATATTAACTAAATAACCTAATTGATTACAAACAGGATTTTCATGTTCACATAAAAAAACGTACACCAAGTAGATTATAAAACACATTACCATGATTTAAGGGCATACAATATCTACCTATAAAACTACTTAAAACATACAGAGTCAACAGTAAAATGAAAAGATTAATTCAAAGACAGCACAAACTGGGAAACCTTTACAGGCACGATCACCATGCGCATTCCCAAGACAAAACTAACCATTGCAAAATGTAATGAATCGATCTCGTAGATTTCTACAAAGTGAAGAGTCCCACCGCTCACGACTTAGTGGATTCACTCCCCATCTTCCATCATCCCCATCAGAAGATGAACAATTGGAGTCATCTCGCGAATGCAAACTACTTGGTCGGGGTCCGCTCGACTTTCGTAACCAATGGTTGGAGCCTGAGTGACATGGCTCAGAGTCAGTCACAATGACTTATGTGTATACACTTTGTCTCCCCTTAAACCGTCAGACTAAACTTATTCTATATCTTTCTTTCAACGAAGTAATTCCTTCTCCCTGTACCATATTTCTGCGTGCAACCCTTTCTACGTATTACTACCAGTGAAGTAACTACTTCTATGGATCTGTTGTTCATCATGCTTTAGTGAGGCGTGGCAACTTGGCCGTAGCTGACTGACTGTGAGTCACTGTACAGCTAACGGGCATCGCAAGCATAAGCAAATTCTAACCAACTTGGAGAGCACCACTGGTGTAGTTCATATCTGTCAAGCGCGAGTTGTCAGGCTCAACACCCTTGGTCTGTTGGAGTACTAGCACAATACAAGCGCTCACCCCGTCCGAGTCATCCTAACCAAGTTTCACCAAACTAGACATGGACCTAACATCAGAGATCCACACAACTATACCCTAGATTAACACTTGGCAACATGATCCAGCCACCTTGTGGTTTGCCTGACAACTAACAGCTATCATGGAGAGCGAAAGCAGTCCAACACGAACATACTAGCTGAAAACGAATCCAACCGTACCACATCGATGTGTACACGATGTTCGAGCACTAGACTGGCACAAATGCTAGTATGTAACTGAAAACGTTATCCCATGTACGTCCAAAGCACAAACAGTTCAACATACCCAAACAAGAGTCAGTACAAATGTACTGTGAAAAGGCTGAAAAAGATTATCTTATTAATTTTTATTTGGGGCGATTGGTCACTTCAACCGCAAAACTGACATTCTGAAAACACTCATGTACAAAGCTTTGCAATTAGATCTCCAGCAGCACAGCCAAATCCAGTCCTTGAACTGCTTTTAGGAGAAACTAGATTACAAAGCTGAAGTTTAATAGGGAAAGATGAGTATGAGTAAGTAGAGGCTTGGACTAAAAGCCTTAGAGGAAGTAAAAGTTAACAAGGAAGAATATAATCAATCCAACAGTCTGTTTTCATTTTCCTTTGAGAATTCACTTCAAGGAAGGGAACTCCTGGTCGTTGTAAATTGCTGGAGGTGGAATGTGATCGTTAATAGGCAAAACACGGCCGAAACCACGACCTCTTCCGTCACTCCTTATCTGACCCCTTCCTCGACCCCCACGTTCACTTCTTGGTCCTGCACCGCGTGCAACACCACGCCCACGATCGAACCCTCTGCTTTCAAATCCTCGTCCACCTCTTCTACGGTTTCCAAAGTCGTCAGCGAAAGAGAAATCAATGTCGATCGACTGATGCTCCTAGATGGAATCTAGTGTAAATACATAGAAACGAAACATACCTCAGGCTCGTTTTCCTTCTCCTCTACCTCGTAGACATCTTCGGAGACCTCTTGTATTTTTCTGTGAGCCACCATGTTTGCGAACACATCTTTGCCGTCATTAGCTTTGCGTAGACCTTTGTTGTTTAATAAAACGGCTGGTTTGGAAGACTGACGCATAGCTTTGTATTCTTCTAGTGTGTAGCTTTTCGGTTCTTCCTCAACTGGGGTTTCTGTGCCGACAACCACACCCTCCTCATTCTCCGTTGTGGCATGCTCTGTCTGGTCCTCGACTTCGTTACGGTCGTCTGCGAAACGCACAACTTGCTCTGAGTCACCACTCTCAGGCATTGCTTGGCCATCAACATCCTGAGAATTCCAATTCCCATCTCTCCGACTATATTGTCTCGGACCCCTACAGAATAAAAGGCTATTATTAACGGGGTTGTGAAAGCCTAGTGATGCATCAGAAAGTGTTTCCGCATTGCATAGGACAGGGATAACAGTTCATCATTACAAAAGCACTTAGGTAAAAGTCACTTACTGACGATCTGGACCATCCTGATTGTCGAAGTCTCGATTTGAATTGAATGGCATCCCACGACCTCGACCAAACATTCCTCTTCCTCTGCCTCTCCCACGTCCTCTAGGCTCAAAGCTTGGCCCTCTTAAAAATAACCACTGAGATCACAACTAACTTACCTGGGAGCATTCAAATCACTAACTGAATCTTGAGGTGCTTCTGTCGGAGCTATTCGTGGCCCCTGCCCTCTGCCTACACGCATTCCTCGAGGTGTTCCCCTACCTGGGCCACGACCACGCACAAAGGTACTAAATGGCTCATCTGTCCCTTTAGCGGATGTAATTTGCACGTCTTCAGGTGGCACTGATGGCGGCTCTGTGGAGTTGGGGGTTTTCGACACCCGAGAACCAGCTTAAATAATTAATATTGCACTTTTGCTTACCTTTCGGAGTTGCAGTATCAACCTTCACCTCACTCTTAGTTATCGTGTCGACCTTTGTAGGTGCCACATTTTGCTGTTGCAAATGAGGCCTATCCTTTTTAGTTTTTTCACCTCGTTTACTCTGCAACTTGGATAGCAGGATATCTGGGTCTTCACTATTCAGAGTGTCGTCCAGGAACAGTGAGAACCTGCTCTTCACTTCCACGGAGTACTGATAGGCGTGGTCAACACCAGCCATGACTACAGAACATACTGTGAACAAGCAGTCAACATGATCATCGCAGAGGAACGGAAATGGTGTGTCTTAATTCAGCAAAACACAGCACTCACTGGTTAAAAACAATTGAATAGTAAGAGACTGTTTGCTGTTTATTTTTGTGATCCTCATTAACTAAGAAGTGATTTCGGACGAGAAAATTGCAAGACGAACTCGCATAATTCAACGGTCAATGTGCAAACCGACTGTATGTCTTCAGTATTCAGTAATAAGGATAGGAGGTCTATTGGCCTATTTTAATCCTTGCAGTTTGTTACACTGTGGAGGTCCAATCTCGTTTTGAATATATCAACAGAAGGTGCTGATATTACGTGTTCTGGTGGAGAATTCCAGTAATTCGCTACTCGGTGCGAGAAACGAAACTCCCGACGTAGACGATTTGTGCTGTGACCAATAGGAGCAAGTAGGCACTTGATACAGTGGCCGATTACACGCTGACCATAATCGCTCAATAATTATGGCATACGTGGGGTTTGTACAGTTTGATACCGTCCCCTTAAGTGTTTAGATTGACATTCGGTATGAAACGACCGAAATGAGTGATTCGTTGTGGTAGCGAACACTAACAAGCTTTTCTCAGTCACTGCTATGTTGAAGACTATTTTCGTGGGTTTCAGCCACGTGATTTAACCCGTTTGACCACAAAATGATTAACATCATTTCACAATTGACGTTGTCTCTAAACGAATGCGGATGAAAGGGTGAACCTACGGATATTGAGTTCCGACCATGAAATGTTTTGTTTTTGAGATGATGAACACTTCTCATATTTGTCCCCAAGATAGAAGACACCTAGAGCAACGTCTGAATCGGCAAGTTGTTACAATACTAATGTGAGGTTCAGATACAATCAATTATCTGCGACGATAATATTGGACGAGTGGATATGCTATCACTAAATCCTATATACCAGATTGCTGTGTAAATAAGGGGACATATGAGTCGTGTTTGGTTTCTGTCACGACTGAACAACCTTCTCGCTGGGCGTGGATGAGTACTGTGCACTGGTTCTAAGCTGACTGTTTGAAAAACATTGTGTATCAGTGTTCCTCAGGACATTTTCAGATTCAAGAATACTCATTTTAAACGTAAGTGACCCGTCCAGTATTATTCCTAATCATCAGTCTTCATACACAGCAATAATATCATCACATGAAGAGTGATACTAGGAGAATGAGGTACCGCAGAGCTTCAGAAGGATCGAAATTAACTGGCGGAACGGTCTGACGCTTGAAAAAACTGAATCATACGGAAGAATACGGGGTGATCCGATCGCATTCTTCACACCACTTAACAATAACCTCGTATCTAACATACCCTCATCTTCTTGCCTTCCACAACTGCACACAAGAGAGCTGATGAATCCAGGACCAACTTCTTGTCAGCTGACTACCGACGTTCGAACCGATCCGTAAATGCGTGAAGCATTCCGTATCAACGCGTGCCAACAACACCTTCCATAGATTAACTCAGAAGGAGTCTGCACAAACTGAGAGACCTTCACAGGCACGATCACCATGCGCATTCCCAAGACAAAACTAACCATTGCAAAATGTAATGAATCGATCTCGTAGATTTCTACAAAGTGAAGAGTCCCACCGCTCACGACTTAGTGGATTCACTCCCCATCTTCCATCATCCCCATCAGAAGATGAACAATTGGAGTCATCTCGCGAATGCAAACTACTTGGTCGGGGTCCGCTCGACTTTCGTAACCAATGGTTGGAGCCTGAGTGACATGGCTCAGAGTCAGTCACAATGACTTATGTGTATACACTTTGTCTCCCCTTAAACCGTCAGACTAAACTTATTCTATATCTTTCTTTCAACGAAGTAATTCCTTCTCCCTGTACCATATTTCTGCGTGCAACCCTTTCTACGTATTACTACCAGTGAAGTAACTACTTCTATGGATCTGTTGTTCATCATGCTTTAGTGAGGCGTGGCAACTTGGCCGTAGCTGACTGACTGTGAGTCACTGTACAGCTAACGGGCATCGCAAGCATAAGCAAATTCTAACCAACTTGGAGAGCACCACTGGTGTAGTTCATATCTGTCAAGCGCGAGTTGTCAGGCTCAACACCCTTGGTCTGTTGGAGTACTAGCACAATACAAGCGCTCACCCCGTCCGAGTCATCCTAACCAAGTTTCACCAAACTAGACATGGACCTAACATCAGAGATCCACACAACTATACCCTAGATTAACACTTGGCAACATGATCCAGCCACCTTGTGGTTTGCCTGACAACTAACAGCTATCATGGAGAGCGAAAGCAGTCCAACACGAACATACTAGCTGAAAACGAATCCAACCGTACCACATCGATGTGTACACGATGTTCGAGCACTAGACTGGCACAAATGCTAGTATGTAACTGAAAACGTTATCCCATGTACGTCCAAAGCACAAACAGTTCAACATACCCAAACAAGAGTCAGTACAAATGTACTGTGAAAAGGCTGAAAAAGATTATCTTATTAATTTTTATTTGGGGCGATTGGTCACTTCAACCGCAAAACTGACATTCTGAAAACACTCATGTACAAAGCTTTGCAATTAGATCTCCAGCAGCACAGCCAAATCCAGTCCTTGAACTGCTTTTAGGAGAAACTAGATTACAAAGCTGAAGTTTAATAGGGAAAGATGAGTATGAGTAAGTAGAGGCTTGGACTAAAAGCCTTAGAGGAAGTAAAAGTTAACAAGGAAGAATATAATCAATCCAACAGTCTGTTTTCATTTTCCTTTGAGAATTCACTTCAAGGAAGGGAACTCCTGGTCGTTGTAAATTGCTGGAGGTGGAATGTGATCGTTAGTAGGCAAAACACGGCCGAAACCACGACCTCTTCCGTCACTCCTTATCTGACCCCTTCCTCGACCCCCACGTTCACTTCTTGGTCCTGCACCGCGTGCAACACCACGCCCACGATCGAACCCTCTGCTTTCGAATCCTCGTCCACCTCTTCTACGGTTTCCAAAGTCGTCAGCGAAAGAGAAATCAATGTCGATCGACTGATGCTCCTAGATGGAATCTAGTGTAAATACATAGAAACGAAACATACCTCAGGCTCGTTTTCCTTCTCCTCTACCTCGTAGACATCTTCGGAGACCTCTTGTATTTTTCTGTGAGCCACCATGTTTGCGAACACATCTTTGCCGTCATTAGCTTTGCGTAGACCTTTGTTGTTTAATAAAACGGCTGGTTTGGAAGACTGACGCATAGCTTTGTATTCTTCTAGTGTGTAGCTTTTCGGTTCTTCCTCAACTGGGGTTTCTGTGCCGACAACCACACCCTCCTCATTCTCCGTTGTGGCATGCTCTGTCTGGTCCTCGACTTCGTTACGGTCGTCTGCGAAACGCACAACTTGCTCTGAGTCACCACTCTCAGGCATTGCTTGGCCATCAACATCCTGAGAATTCCAATTCCCATCTCTCCGACTATATTGTCTCGGACCCCTACAGAATAAAAGGCTATTATTAACGGGGTTGTGAAAGCCTAGTGATGCATCAGAAAGTGTTTCCGCATTGCATAGGACAGGGATAACAGTTCATCATTACAAAAGCACTTAGGTAAAAGTCACTTACTGACGATCTGGACCATCCTGATTGTCGAAGTCTCGATTTGAATTGAATGGCATCCCACGACCTCGACCAAACATTCCTCTTCCTCTGCCTCTCCCACGTCCTCTAGGCTCAAAGCTTGGCCCTCTTAAAAATAACCACTGAGATCACAACTAACTTACCTGGGAGCATTCAAATCACTAACTGAATCTTGAGGTGCTTCTGTCGGAGCTATTCGTGGCCCCTGCCCTCTGCCTACACGCATTCCTCGAGGTGTTCCCCTACCTGGGCCACGACCACGCACAAAGGTACTAAATGGCTCATCTGTCCCTTTAGCGGATGTAATTTGCACGTCTTCAGGTGGCACTGATGGCGGCTCTGTGGAGTTGGGGGTTTTCGACACCCGAGAACCAGCTTAAATAATTAATATTGCACTTTTGCTTACCTTTCGGAGTTGCAGTATCAACCTTCACCTCACTCTTAGTTATCGTGTCGACCTTTGTAGGTGCCACATTTTGCTGTTGCAAATGAGGCCTATCCTTTTTAGTTTTTTCACCTCGTTTACTCTGCAACTTGGATAGCAGGATATCTGGGTCTTCACTATTCAGAGTGTCGTCCAGGAACAGTGAGAACCTGCTCTTCACTTCCACGGAGTACTGATAGGCGTGGTCAACACCAGCCATGACTACAGAACATACTGTGAACAAGCAGTCAACATGATCATCGCAGAGGAACGGAAATGGTGTGTCTTAATTCAGCAAAACACAGCACTCACTGGTTAAAAACAATTGAATAGTAAGAGACTGTTTGCTGTTTATTTTTGTGATCCTCATTAACTAAGAAGTGATTTCGGACGAGAAAATTGCAAGACGAACTCGCATAATTCAACGGTCAATGTGCAAACCGACTGTATGTCTTCAGTATTCAGTAATAAGGATAGGAGGTCTATTGGCCTATTTTAATCCTTGCAGTTTGTTACACTGTGGAGGTCCAATCTCGTTTTGAATATATCAACAGAAGGTGCTGATATTACGTGTTCTGGTGGAGAATTCCAGTAATTCGCTACTCGGTGCGAGAAACGAAACTCCCGACGTAGACGATTTGTGCTGTGACCAATAGGAGCAAGTAGGCACTTGATACAGTGGCCGATTACACGCTGACCATAATCGCTCAATAATTATGGCATACGTGGGGTTTGTACAGTTTGATACCGTCCCCTTAAGTGTTTAGATTGACATTCGGTATGAAACGACCGAAATGAGTGATTCGTTGTGGTAGCGAACACTAACAAGCTTTTCTCAGTCACTGCTATGTTGAAGACTATTTTCGTGGGTTTCAGCCACGTGATTTAACCCGTTTGACCACAAAATGATTAACATCATTTCACAATTGACGTTGTCTCTAAACGAATGCGGATGAAAGGGTGAACCTACGGATATTGAGTTCCGACCATGAAATGTTTTGTTTTTGAGATGATGAACACTTCTCATATTTGTCCCCAAGATAGAAGACACCTAGAGCAACGTCTGAATCGGCAAGTTGTTACAATACTAATGTGAGGTTCAGATACAATCAATTATCTGCGACGATAATATTGGACGAGTGGATATGCTATCACTAAATCCTATATACCAGATTGCTGTGTAAATAAGGGGACATATGAGTCGTGTTTGGTTTCTGTCACGACTGAACAACCTTCTCGCTGGGCGTGGATGAGTACTGTGCACTGGTTCTAAGCTGACTGTTTGAAAAACATTGTGTATCAGTGTTCCTCAGGACATTTTCAGATTCAAGAATACTCATTTTAAACGTAAGTGACCCGTCCAGTATTATTCCTAATCATCAGTCTTCATACACAGCAATAATATCATCACATGAAGAGTGATACTAGGAGAATGAGGTACCGCAGAGCTTCAGAAGGATCGAAATTAACTGGCGGAACGGTCTGACGCTTGAAAAAACTGAATCATACGGAAGAATACGGGGTGATCCGATCGCATTCTTCACACCACTTAACAATAACCTCGTATCTAACATACCCTCATTTTCTTGCCTTCCACAACTGCACACAAGAGAGCTGATGAATCCAGGACCAACTTCTTGTCAGCTGACTACCGACGTTCGAACCGATCCGTAAATGCGTGAAGCATTCCGTATCAACGCGTGCCAACAACACCTTCCATAGATTAACTCAGAAGGAGTCTGCACAAACTGAGAGACCTTCACAGGCACGATCACCATGCGCATTCCCAAGACAAAACTAACCATTGCAAAATGTAATGAATCGATCTCGTAGATTTCTACAAAGTGAAGAGTCCCACCGCTCACGACTTAGTGGATTCACTCCCCATCTTCCATCATCCCCATCAGAAGATGAACAATTGGAGTCATCTCGCGAATGCAAACTACTTGGTCGGGGTCCGCTCGACTTTCGTAACCAATGGTTGGAGCCTGAGTGACATGGCTCAGAGTCAGTCACAATGACTTATGTGTATACACTTTGTCTCCCCTTAAACCGTCAGACTAAACTTATTCTATATCTTTCTTTCAACGAAGTAATTCCTTCTCCCTGTACCATATTTCTGCGTGCAACCCTTTCTACGTATTACTACCAGTGAAGTAACTACTTCTATGGATCTGTTGTTCATCATGCTTTAGTGAGGCGTGGCAACTTGGCCGTAGCTGACTGACTGTGAGTCACTGTACAGCTAACGGGCATCGCAAGCATAAGCAAATTCTAACCAACTTGGAGAGCACCACTGGTGTAGTTCATATCTGTCAAGCGCGAGTTGTCAGGCTCAACACCCTTGGTCTGTTGGAGTACTAGCACAATACAAGCGCTCACCCCGTCCGAGTCATCCTAACCAAGTTTCACCAAACTAGACATGGACCTAACATCAGAGATCCACACAACTATACCCTAGATTAACACTTGGCAACATGATCCAGCCACCTTGTGGTTTGCCTGACAACTAACAGCTATCATGGAGAGCGAAAGCAGTCCAACACGAACATACTAGCTGAAAACGAATCCAACCGTACCACATCGATGTGTACACGATGTTCGAGCACTAGACTGGCACAAATGCTAGTATGTAACTGAAAACGTTATCCCATGTACGTCCAAAGCACAAACAGTTCAACATACCCAAACAAGAGTCAGTACAAATGTACTGTGAAAAGGCTGAAAAAGATTATCTTATTAATTTTTATTTGGGGCGATTGGTCACTTCAACCGCAAAACTGACATTCTGAAAACACTCATGTACAAAGCTTTGCAATTAGATCTCCAGCAGCACAGCCAAATCCAGTCCTTGAACTGCTTTTAGGAGAAACTAGATTACAAAGCTGAAGTTTAATAGGGAAAGATGAGTATGAGTAAGTAGAGGCTTGGACTAAAAGCCTTAGAGGAAGTAAAAGTTAACAAGGAAGAATATAATCAATCCAACAGTCTGTTTTCATTTTCCTTTGAGAATTCACTTCAAGGAAGGGAACTCCTGGTCGTTGTAAATTGCTGGAGGTGGAATGTGATCGTTAATAGGCAAAACACGGCCGAAACCACGACCTCTTCCGTCACTCCTTATCTGACCCCTTCCTCGACCCCCACGTTCACTTCTTGGTCCTGCACCGCGTGCAACACCACGCCCACGATCGAACCCTCTGCTTTCGAATCCTCGTCCACCTCTTCTACGGTTTCCAAAGTCGTCAGCGAAAGAGAAATCAATGTCGATCGACTGATGCTCCTAGATGGAATCTAGTGTAAATACATAGAAACGAAACATACCTCAGGCTCGTTTTCCTTCTCCTCTACCTCGTAGACATCTTCGGAGACCTCTTGTATTTTTCTGTGAGCCACCATGTTTGCGAACACATCTTTGCCGTCATTAGCTTTGCGTAGACCTTTGTTGTTTAATAAAACGGCTGGTTTGGAAGACTGACGCATAGCTTTGTATTCTTCTAGTGTGTAGCTTTTCGGTTCTTCCTCAACTGGGGTTTCTGTGCCGACAACCACACCCTCCTCATTCTCCGTTGTGGCATGCTCTGTCTGGTCCTCGACTTCGTTACGGTCGTCTGCGAAACGCACAACTTGCTCTGAGTCACCACTCTCAGGCATTGCTTGGCCATCAACATCCTGAGAATTCCAATTCCCATCTCTCCGACTATATTGTCTCGGACCCCTACAGAATAAAAGGCTATTATTAACGGGGTTGTGAAAGCCTAGTGATGCATCAGAAAGTGTTTCCGCATTGCATAGGACAGGGATAACAGTTCATCATTACAAAAGCACTTAGGTAAAAGTCACTTACTGACGATCTGGACCATCCTGATTGTCGAAGTCTCGATTTGAATTGAATGGCATCCCACGACCTCGACCAAACATTCCTCTTCCTCTGCCTCTCCCACGTCCTCTAGGCTCAAAGCTTGGCCCTCTTAAAAATAACCACTGAGATCACAACTAACTTACCTGGGAGCATTCAAATCACTAACTGAATCTTGAGGTGCTTCTGTCGGAGCTATTCGTGGCCCCTGCCCTCTGCCTACACGCATTCCTCGAGGTGTTCCCCTACCTGGGCCACGACCACGCACAAAGGTACTAAATGGCTCATCTGTCCCTTTAGCGGATGTAATTTGCACGTCTTCAGGTGGCACTGATGGCGGCTCTGTGGAGTTGGGGGTTTTCGACACCCGAGAACCAGCTTAAATAATTAATATTGCACTTTTGCTTACCTTTCGGAGTTGCAGTATCAACCTTCACCTCACTCTTAGTTATCGTGTCGACCTTTGTAGGTGCCACATTTTGCTGTTGCAAATGAGGCCTATCCTTTTTAGTTTTTTCACCTCGTTTACTCTGCAACTTGGATAGCAGGATATCTGGGTCTTCACTATTCAGAGTGTCGTCCAGGAACAGTGAGAACCTGCTCTTCACTTCCACGGAGTACTGATAGGCGTGGTCAACACCAGCCATGACTACAGAACATACTGTGAACAAGCAGTCAACATGATCATCGCAGAGGAACGGAAATGGTGTGTCTTAATTCAGCAAAACACAGCACTCACTGGTTAAAAACAATTGAATAGTAAGAGACTGTTTGCTGTTTATTTTTGTGATCCTCATTAACTAAGAAGTGATTTCGGACGAGAAAATTGCAAGACGAACTCGCATAATTCAACGGTCAATGTGCAAACCGACTGTATGTCTTCAGTATTCAGTAATAAGGATAGGAGGTCTATTGGCCTATTTTAATCCTTGCAGTTTGTTACACTGTGGAGGTCCAATCTCGTTTTGAATATATCAACAGAAGGTGCTGATATTACGTGTTCTGGTGGAGAATTCCAGTAATTCGCTACTCGGTGCGAGAAACGAAACTCCCGACGTAGACGATTTGTGCTGTGACCAATAGGAGCAAGTAGGCACTTGATACAGTGGCCGATTACACGCTGACCATAATCGCTCAATAATTATGGCATACGTGGGGTTTGTACAGTTTGATACCGTCCCCTTAAGTGTTTAGATTGACATTCGGTATGAAACGACCGAAATGAGTGATTCGTTGTGGTAGCGAACACTAACAAGCTTTTCTCAGTCACTGCTATATTGAAGACTATTTTCGTGGGTTTCAGCCACGTGATTTAACCCGTTTGACCACAAAATGATTAACATCATTTCACAATTGACGTTGTCTCTAAACGAATGCGGATGAAAGGGTGAACCTACGGATATTGAGTTCCGACCATGAAATGTTTTGTTTTTGAGATGATGAACACTTCTCATATTTGTCCCCAAGATAGAAGACACCTAGAGCAACGTCTGAATCGGCAAGTTGTTACAATACTAATGTGAGGTTCAGATACAATCAATTATCTGCGACGATAATATTGGACGAGTGGATATGCTATCACTAAATCCTATATACCAGATTGCTGTGTAAATAAGGGGACATATGAGTCGTGTTTGGTTTCTGTCACGACTGAACAACCTTCTCGCTGGGCGTGGATGAGTACTGTGCACTGGTTCTAAGCTGACTGTTTGAAAAACATTGTGTATCAGTGTTCCTCAGGACATTTTCAGATTCAAGAATACTCATTTTAAACGTAAGTGACCCGTCCAGTATTATTCCTAATCATCAGTCTTCATACACAGCAATAATATCATCACATGAAGAGTGATACTAGGAGAATGAGGTACCGCAGAGCTTCAGAAGGATCGAAATTAACTGGCGGAACGGTCTGACGCTTGAAAAAACTGAATCATACGGAAGAATACGGGGTGATCCGATCGCATTCTTCACACCACTTAACAATAACCTCGTATCTAACATACCCTCATTTTCTTGCCTTCCACAACTGCACACAAGAGAGCTGATGAATCCAGGACCAACTTCTTGTCAGCTGACTACCGACGTTCGAACCGATCCGTAAATGCGTGAAGCATTCCGTATCAACGCGTGCCAACAACACCTTCCATAGATTAACTCAGAAGGAGTCTGCACAAACTGAGAGACCTTCACAGGCACGATCACCATGCGCATTCCCAAGACAAAACTAACCATTGCAAAATGTAATGAATCGATCTCGTAGATTTCTACAAAGTGAAGAGTCCCACCGCTCACGACTTAGTGGATTCACTCCCCATCTTCCATCATCCCCATCAGAAGATGAACAATTGGAGTCATCTCGCGAATGCAAACTACTTGGTCGGGGTCCGCTCGACTTTCGTAACCAATGGTTGGAGCCTGAGTGACATGGCTCAGAGTCAGTCACAATGACTTATGTGTATACACTTTGTCTCCCCTTAAACCGTCAGACTAAACTTATTCTATATCTTTCTTTCAACGAAGTAATTCCTTCTCCCTGTACCATATTTCTGCGTGCAACCCTTTCTACGTATTACTACCAGTGAAGTAACTACTTCTATGGATCTGTTGTTCATCATGCTTTAGTGAGGCGTGGCAACTTGGCCGTAGCTGACTGACTGTGAGTCACTGTACAGCTAACGGGCATCGCAAGCATAAGCAAATTCTAACCAACTTGGAGAGCACCACTGGTGTAGTTCATATCTGTCAAGCGCGAGTTGTCAGGCTCAACACCCTTGGTCTGTTGGAGTACTAGCACAATACAAGCGCTCACCCCGTCCGAGTCATCCTAACCAAGTTTCACCAAACTAGACATGGACCTAACATCAGAGATCCACACAACTATACCCTAGATTAACACTTGGCAACATGATCCAGCCACCTTGTGGTTTGCCTGACAACTAACAGCTATCATGGAGAGCGAAAGCAGTCCAACACGAACATACTAGCTGAAAACGAATCCAACCGTACCACATCGATGTGTACACGATGTTCGAGCACTAGACTGGCACAAATGCTAGTATGTAACTGAAAACGTTATCCCATGTACGTCCAAAGCACAAACAGTTCAACATACCCAAACAAGAGTCAGTACAAATGTACTGTGAAAAGGCTGAAAAAGATTATCTTATTAATTTTTATTTGGGGCGATTGGTCACTTCAACCGCAAAACTGACATTCTGAAAACACTCATGTACAAAGCTTTGCAATTAGATCTCCAGCAGCACAGCCAAATCCAGTCCTTGAACTGCTTTTAGGAGAAACTAGATTACAAAGCTGAAGTTTAATAGGGAAAGATGAGTATGAGTAAGTAGAGGCTTGGACTAAAAGCCTTAGAGGAAGTAAAAGTTAACAAGGAAGAATATAATCAATCCAACAGTCTGTTTTCATTTTCCTTTGAGAATTCACTTCAAGGAAGGGAACTCCTGGTCGTTGTAAATTGCTGGAGGTGGAATGTGATCGTTAATAGGCAAAACACGGCCGAAACCACGACCTCTTCCGTCACTCCTTATCTGACCCCTTCCTCGACCCCCACGTTCACTTCTTGGTCCTGCACCGCGTGCAACACCACGCCCACGATCGAACCCTCTGCTTTCGAATCCTCGTCCACCTCTTCTACGGTTTCCAAAGTCGTCAGCGAAAGAGAAATCAATGTCGATCGACTGATGCTCCTAGATGGAATCTAGTGTAAATACATAGAAACGAAACATACCTCAGGCTCGTTTTCCTTCTCCTCTACCTCGTAGACATCTTCGGAGACCTCTTGTATTTTTCTGTGAGCCACCATGTTTGCGAACACATCTTTGCCGTCATTAGCTTTGCGTAGACCTTTGTTGTTTAATAAAACGGCTGGTTTGGAAGACTGACGCATAGCTTTGTATTCTTCTAGTGTGTAGCTTTTCGGTTCTTCCTCAACTGGGGTTTCTGTGCCGACAACCACACCCTCCTCATTCTCCGTTGTGGCATGCTCTGTCTGGTCCTCGACTTCGTTACGGTCGTCTGCGAAACGCACAACTTGCTCTGAGTCACCACTCTCAGGCATTGCTTGGCCATCAACATCCTGAGAATTCCAATTCCCATCTCTCCGACCATATTGTCTCGGACCCCTACAGAATAAAAGGCTATTATTAACGGGGTTGTGAAAGCCTAGTGATGCATCAGAAAGTGTTTCCGCATTGCATAGGACAGGGATAACAGTTCATCATTACAAAAGCACTTAGGTAAAAGTCACTTACTGACGATCTGGACCATCCTGATTGTCGAAGTCTCGATTTGAATTGAATGGCATCCCACAACCTCGACCAAACATTCCTCTTCCTCTGCCTCTCCCACGTCCTCTAGGCTCAAAGCTTGGCCCTCTTAAAAATAACCACTGAGATCACAACTAACTTACCTGGGAGCATTCAAATCACTAACTGAATCTTGAGGTGCTTCTGTCGGAGCTATTCGTGGCCCCTGCCCTCTGCCTACACGCATTCCTCGAGGTGTTCCCCTACCTGGGCCACGACCACGCACAAAGGTACTAAATGGCTCATCTGTCCCTTTAGCGGATGTAATTTGCACGTCTTCAGGTGGCACTGATGGCGGCTCTGTGGAGTTGGGGGTTTTCGACACCCGAGAACCAGCTTAAATAATTAATATTGCACTTTTGCTTACCTTTCGGAGTTGCAGTATCAACCTTCACCTCACTCTTAGTTATCGTGTCGACCTTTGTAGGTGCCACATTTTGCTGTTGCAAATGAGGCCTATCCTTTTTAGTTTTTTCACCTCGTTTACTCTGCAACTTGGATAGCAGGATATCTGGGTCTTCACTATTCAGAGTGTCGTCCAGGAACAGTGAGAACCTGCTCTTCACTTCCACGGAGTACTGATAGGCGTGGTCAACACCAGCCATGACTACAGAACATACTGTGAACAAGCAGTCAACATGATCATCGCAGAGGAACGGAAATGGTGTGTCTTAATTCAGCAAAACACAGCACTCACTGGTTAAAAACAATTGAATAGTAAGAGACTGTTTGCTGTTTATTTTTGTGATCCTCATTAACTAAGAAGTGATTTCGGACGAGAAAATTGCAAGACGAACTCGCATAATTCAACGGTCAATGTGCAAACCGACTGTATGTCTTCAGTATTCAGTAATAAGGATAGGAGGTCTATTGGCCTATTTTAATCCTTGCAGTTTGTTACACTGTGGAGGTCCAATCTCGTTTTGAATATATCAACAGAAGGTGCTGATATTACGTGTTCTGGTGGAGAATTCCAGTAATTCGCTACTCGGTGCGAGAAACGAAACTCCCGACGTAGACGATTTGTGCTGTGACCAATAGGAGCAAGTAGGCACTTGATACAGTGGCCGATTACACGCTGACCATAATCGCTCAATAATTATGGCATACGTGGGGTTTGTACAGTTTGATACCGTCCCCTTAAGTGTTTAGATTGACATTCGGTATGAAACGACCGAAATGAGTGATTCGTTGTGGTAGCGAACACTAACAAGCTTTTCTCAGTCACTGCTATATTGAAGACTATTTTCGTGGGTTTCAGCCACGTGATTTAACCCGTTTGACCACAAAATGATTAACATCATTTCACAATTGACGTTGTCTCTAAACGAATGCGGATGAAAGGGTGAACCTACGGATATTGAGTTCCGACCATGAAATGTTTTGTTTTTGAGATGATGAACACTTCTCATATTTGTCCCCAAGATAGAAGACACCTAGAGCAACGTCTGAATCGGCAAGTTGTTACAATACTAATGTGAGGTTCAGATACAATCAATTATCTGCGACGATAATATTGGACGAGTGGATATGCTATCACTAAATCCTATATACCAGATTGCTGTGTAAATAAGGGGACATATGAGTCGTGTTTGGTTTCTGTCACGACTGAACAACCTTCTCGCTGGGCGTGGATGAGTACTGTGCACTGGTTCTAAGCTGACTGTTTGAAAAACATTGTGTATCAGTGTTCCTCAGGACATTTTCAGATTCAAGAATACTCATTTTAAACGTAAGTGACCCGTCCAGTATTATTCCTAATCATCAGTCTTCATACACAGCAATAATATCATCACATGAAGAGTGATACTAGGAGAATGAGGTACCGCAGAGCTTCAGAAGGATCGAAATTAACTGGCGGAACGGTCTGACGCTTGAAAAAACTGAATCATACGGAAGAATACGGGGTGATCCGATCGCATTCTTCACACCACTTAACAATAACCTCGTATCTAACATACCCTCATTTTCTTGCCTTCCACAACTGCACACAAGAGAGCTGATGAATCCAGGACCAACTTCTTGTCAGCTGACTACCGACGTTCGAACCGATCCGTAAATGCGTGAAGCATTCCGTATCAACGCGTGCCAACAACACCTTCCATAGATTAACTCAGAAGGAGTCTGCACAAACTGAGAGACCTTCACAGGCACGATCACCATGCGCATTCCCAAGACAAAACTAACCATTGCAAAATGTAATGAATCGATCTCGTAGATTTCTACAAAGTGAAGAGTCCCACCGCTCACGACTTAGTGGATTCACTCCCCATCTTCCATCATCCCCATCAGAAGATGAACAATTGGAGTCATCTCGCGAATGCAAACTACTTGGTCGGGGTCCGCTCGACTTTCGTAACCAATGGTTGGAGCCTGAGTGACATGGCTCAGAGTCAGTCACAATGACTTATGTGTATACACTTTGTCTCCCCTTAAACCGTCAGACTAAACTTATTCTATATCTTTCTTTCAACGAAGTAATTCCTTCTCCCTGTACCATATTTCTGCGTGCAACCCTTTCTACGTATTACTACCAGTGAAGTAACTACTTCTATGGATCTGTTGTTCATCATGCTTTAGTGAGGCGTGGCAACTTGGCCGTAGCTGACTGACTGTGAGTCACTGTACAGCTAACGGGCATCGCAAGCATAAGCAAATTCTAACCAACTTGGAGAGCACCACTGGTGTAGTTCATATCTGTCAAGCGCGAGTTGTCAGGCTCAACACCCTTGGTCTGTTGGAGTACTAGCACAATACAAGCGCTCACCCCGTCCGAGTCATCCTAACCAAGTTTCACCAAACTAGACATGGACCTAACATCAGAGATCCACACAACTATACCCTAGATTAACACTTGGCAACATGATCCAGCCACCTTGTGGTTTGCCTGACAACTAACAGCTATCATGGAGAGCGAAAGCAGTCCAACACGAACATACTAGCTGAAAACGAATCCAACCGTACCACATCGATGTGTACACGATGTTCGAGCACTAGACTGGCACAAATGCTAGTATGTAACTGAAAACGTTATCCCATGTACGTCCAAAGCACAAACAGTTCAACATACCCAAACAAGAGTCAGTACAAATGTACTGTGAAAAGGCTGAAAAAGATTATCTTATTAATTTTTATTTGGGGCGATTGGTCACTTCAACCGCAAAACTGACATTCTGAAAACACTCATGTACAAAGCTTTGCAATTAGATCTCCAGCAGCACAGCCAAATCCAGTCCTTGAACTGCTTTTAGGAGAAACTAGATTACAAAGCTGAAGTTTAATAGGGAAAGATGAGTATGAGTAAGTAGAGGCTTGGACTAAAAGCCTTAGAGGAAGTAAAAGTTAACAAGGAAGAATATAATCAATCCAACAGTCTGTTTTCATTTTCCTTTGAGAATTCACTTCAAGGAAGGGAACTCCTGGTCGTTGTAAATTGCTGGAGGTGGAATGTGATCGTTAATAGGCAAAACACGGCCGAAACCACGACCTCTTCCGTCACTCCTTATCTGACCCCTTCCTCGACCCCCACGTTCACTTCTTGGTCCTGCACCGCGTGCAACACCACGCCCACGATCGAACCCTCTGCTTTCGAATCCTCGTCCACCTCTTCTACGGTTTCCAAAGTCGTCAGCGAAAGAGAAATCAATGTCGATCGACTGATGCTCCTAGATGGAATCTAGTGTAAATACATAGAAACGAAACATACCTCAGGCTCGTTTTCCTTCTCCTCTACCTCGTAGACATCTTCGGAGACCTCTTGTATTTTTCTGTGAGCCACCATGTTTGCGAACACATCTTTGCCGTCATTAGCTTTGCGTAGACCTTTGTTGTTTAATAAAACGGCTGGTTTGGAAGACTGACGCATAGCTTTGTATTCTTCTAGTGTGTAGCTTTTCGGTTCTTCCTCAACTGGGGTTTCTGTGCCGACAACCACACCCTCCTCATTCTCCGTTGTGGCATGCTCTGTCTGGTCCTCGACTTCGTTACGGTCGTCTGCGAAACGCACAACTTGCTCTGAGTCACCACTCTCAGGCATTGCTTGGCCATCAACATCCTGAGAATTCCAATTCCCATCTCTCCGACCATATTGTCTCGGACCCCTACAGAATAAAAGGCTATTATTAACGGGGTTGTGAAAGCCTAGTGATGCATCAGAAAGTGTTTCCGCATTGCATAGGACAGGGATAACAGTTCATCATTACAAAAGCACTTAGGTAAAAGTCACTTACTGACGATCTGGACCATCCTGATTGTCGAAGTCTCGATTTGAATTGAATGGCATCCCACAACCTCGACCAAACATTCCTCTTCCTCTGCCTCTCCCACGTCCTCTAGGCTCAAAGCTTGGCCCTCTTAAAAATAACCACTGAGATCACAACTAACTTACCTGGGAGCATTCAAATCACTAACTGAATCTTGAGGTGCTTCTGTCGGAGCTATTCGTGGCCCCTGCCCTCTGCCTACACGCATTCCTCGAGGTGTTCCCCTACCTGGGCCACGACCACGCACAAAGGTACTAAATGGCTCATCTGTCCCTTTAGCGGATGTAATTTGCACGTCTTCAGGTGGCACTGATGGCGGCTCTGTGGAGTTGGGGGTTTTCGACACCCGAGAACCAGCTTAAATAATTAATATTGCACTTTTGCTTACCTTTCGGAGTTGCAGTATCAACCTTCACCTCACTCTTAGTTATCGTGTCGACCTTTGTAGGTGCCACATTTTGCTGTTGCAAATGAGGCCTATCCTTTTTAGTTTTTTCACCTCGTTTACTCTGCAACTTGGATAGCAGGATATCTGGGTCTTCACTATTCAGAGTGTCGTCCAGGAACAGTGAGAACCTGCTCTTCACTTCCACGGAGTACTGATAGGCGTGGTCAACACCAGCCATGACTACAGAACATACTGTGAACAAGCAGTCAACATGATCATCGCAGAGGAACGGAAATGGTGTGTCTTAATTCAGCAAAACACAGCACTCACTGGTTAAAAACAATTGAATAGTAAGAGACTGTTTGCTGTTTATTTTTGTGATCCTCATTAACTAAGAAGTGATTTCGGACGAGAAAATTGCAAGACGAACTCGCATAATTCAACGGTCAATGTGCAAACCGACTGTATGTCTTCAGTATTCAGTAATAAGGATAGGAGGTCTATTGGCCTATTTTAATCCTTGCAGTTTGTTACACTGTGGAGGTCCAATCTCGTTTTGAATATATCAACAGAAGGTGCTGATATTACGTGTTCTGGTGGAGAATTCCAGTAATTCGCTACTCGGTGCGAGAAACGAAACTCCCGACGTAGACGATTTGTGCTGTGACCAATAGGAGCAAGTAGGCACTTGATACAGTGGCCGATTACACGCTGACCATAATCGCTCAATAATTATGGCATACGTGGGGTTTGTACAGTTTGATACCGTCCCCTTAAGTGTTTAGATTGACATTCGGTATGAAACGACCGAAATGAGTGATTCGTTGTGGTAGCGAACACTAACAAGCTTTTCTCAGTCACTGCTATATTGAAGACTATTTTCGTGGGTTTCAGCCACGTGATTTAACCCGTTTGACCACAAAATGATTAACATCATTTCACAATTGACGTTGTCTCTAAACGAATGCGGATGAAAGGGTGAACCTACGGATATTGAGTTCCGACCATGAAATGTTTTGTTTTTGAGATGATGAACACTTCTCATATTTGTCCCCAAGATAGAAGACACCTAGAGCAACGTCTGAATCGGCAAGTTGTTACAATACTAATGTGAGGTTCAGATACAATCAATTATCTGCGACGATAATATTGGACGAGTGGATATGCTATCACTAAATCCTATATACCAGATTGCTGTGTAAATAAGGGGACATATGAGTCGTGTTTGGTTTCTGTCACGACTGAACAACCTTCTCGCTGGGCGTGGATGAGTACTGTGCACTGGTTCTAAGCTGACTGTTTGAAAAACATTGTGTATCAGTGTTCCTCAGGACATTTTCAGATTCAAGAATACTCATTTTAAACGTAAGTGACCCGTCCAGTATTATTCCTAATCATCAGTCTTCATACACAGCAATAATATCATCACATGAAGAGTGATACTAGGAGAATGAGGTACCGCAGAGCTTCAGAAGGATCGAAATTAACTGGCGGAACGGTCTGACGCTTGAAAAAACTGAATCATACGGAAGAATACGGGGTGATCCGATCGCATTCTTCACACCACTTAACAATAACCTCGTATCTAACATACCCTCATTTTCTTGCCTTCCACAACTGCACACAAGAGAGCTGATGAATCCAGGACCAACTTCTTGTCAGCTGACTACCGACGTTCGAACCGATCCGTAAATGCGTGAAGCATTCCGTATCAACGCGTGCCAACAACACCTTCCATAGATTAACTCAGAAGGAGTCTGCACAAACTGAGAGACCTTCACAGGCACGATCACCATGCGCATTCCCAAGACAAAACTAACCATTGCAAAATGTAATGAATCGATCTCGTAGATTTCTACAAAGTGAAGAGTCCCACCGCTCACGACTTAGTGGATTCACTCCCCATCTTCCATCATCCCCATCAGAAGATGAACAATTGGAGTCATCTCGCGAATGCAAACTACTTGGTCGGGGTCCGCTCGACTTTCGTAACCAATGGTTGGAGCCTGAGTGACATGGCTCAGAGTCAGTCACAATGACTTATGTGTATACACTTTGTCTCCCCTTAAACCGTCAGACTAAACTTATTCTATATCTTTCTTTCAACGAAGTAATTCCTTCTCCCTGTACCATATTTCTGCGTGCAACCCTTTCTACGTATTACTACCAGTGAAGTAACTACTTCTATGGATCTGTTGTTCATCATGCTTTAGTGAGGCGTGGCAACTTGGCCGTAGCTGACTGACTGTGAGTCACTGTACAGCTAACGGGCATCGCAAGCATAAGCAAATTCTAACCAACTTGGAGAGCACCACTGGTGTAGTTCATATCTGTCAAGCGCGAGTTGTCAGGCTCAACACCCTTGGTCTGTTGGAGTACTAGCACAATACAAGCGCTCACCCCGTCCGAGTCATCCTAACCAAGTTTCACCAAACTAGACATGGACCTAACATCAGAGATCCACACAACTATACCCTAGATTAACACTTGGCAACATGATCCAGCCACCTTGTGGTTTGCCTGACAACTAACAGCTATCATGGAGAGCGAAAGCAGTCCAACACGAACATACTAGCTGAAAACGAATCCAACCGTACCACATCGATGTGTACACGATGTTCGAGCACTAGACTGGCACAAATGCTAGTATGTAACTGAAAACGTTATCCCATGTACGTCCAAAGCACAAACAGTTCAACATACCCAAACAAGAGTCAGTACAAATGTACTGTGAAAAGGCTGAAAAAGATTATCTTATTAATTTTTATTTGGGGCGATTGGTCACTTCAACCGCAAAACTGACATTCTGAAAACACTCATGTACAAAGCTTTGCAATTAGATCTCCAGCAGCACAGCCAAATCCAGTCCTTGAACTGCTTTTAGGAGAAACTAGATTACAAAGCTGAAGTTTAATAGGGAAAGATGAGTATGAGTAAGTAGAGGCTTGGACTAAAAGCCTTAGAGGAAGTAAAAGTTAACAAGGAAGAATATAATCAATCCAACAGTCTGTTTTCATTTTCCTTTGAGAATTCACTTCAAGGAAGGGAACTCCTGGTCGTTGTAAATTGCTGGAGGTGGAATGTGATCGTTAATAGGCAAAACACGGCCGAAACCACGACCTCTTCCGTCACTCCTTATCTGACCCCTTCCTCGACCCCCACGTTCACTTCTTGGTCCTGCACCGCGTGCAACACCACGCCCACGATCGAACCCTCTGCTTTCGAATCCTCGTCCACCTCTTCTACGGTTTCCAAAGTCGTCAGCGAAAGAGAAATCAATGTCGATCGACTGATGCTCCTAGATGGAATCTAGTGTAAATACATAGAAACGAAACATACCTCAGGCTCGTTTTCCTTCTCCTCTACCTCGTAGACATCTTCGGAGACCTCTTGTATTTTTCTGTGAGCCACCATGTTTGCGAACACATCTTTGCCGTCATTAGCTTTGCGTAGACCTTTGTTGTTTAATAAAACGGCTGGTTTGGAAGACTGACGCATAGCTTTGTATTCTTCTAGTGTGTAGCTTTTCGGTTCTTCCTCAACTGGGGTTTCTGTGCCGACAACCACACCCTCCTCATTCTCCGTTGTGGCATGCTCTGTCTGGTCCTCGACTTCGTTACGGTCGTCTGCGAAACGCACAACTTGCTCTGAGTCACCACTCTCAGGCATTGCTTGGCCATCAACATCCTGAGAATTCCAATTCCCATCTCTCCGACCATATTGTCTCGGACCCCTACAGAATAAAAGGCTATTATTAACGGGGTTGTGAAAGCCTAGTGATGCATCAGAAAGTGTTTCCGCATTGCATAGGACAGGGATAACAGTTCATCATTACAAAAGCACTTAGGTAAAAGTCACTTACTGACGATCTGGACCATCCTGATTGTCGAAGTCTCGATTTGAATTGAATGGCATCCCACGACCTCGACCAAACATTCCTCTTCCTCTGCCTCTCCCACGTCCTCTAGGCTCAAAGCTTGGCCCTCTTAAAAATAACCACTGAGATCACAACTAACTTACCTGGGAGCATTCAAATCACTAACTGAATCTTGAGGTGCTTCTGTCGGAGCTATTCGTGGCCCCTGCCCTCTGCCTACACGCATTCCTCGAGGTGTTCCCCTACCTGGGCCACGACCACGCACAAAGGTACTAAATGGCTCATCTGTCCCTTTAGCGGATGTAATTTGCACGTCTTCAGGTGGCACTGATGGCGGCTCTGTGGAGTTGGGGGTTTTCGACACCCGAGAACCAGCTTAAATAATTAATATTGCACTTTTGCTTACCTTTCGGAGTTGCAGTATCAACCTTCACCTCACTCTTAGTTATCGTGTCGACCTTTGTAGGTGCCACATTTTGCTGTTGCAAATGAGGCCTATCCTTTTTAGTTTTTTTCACCTCGTTTACTCTGCAACTTGGATAGCAGGATATCTGGGTCTTCACTATTCAGAGTGTCGTCCAGGAACAGTGAGAACCTGCTCTTCACTTCCACGGAGTACTGATAGGCGTGGTCAACACCAGCCATGACTACAGAACATACTGTGAACAAGCAGTCAACATGATCATCGCAGAGGAACGGAAATGGTGTGTCTTAATTCAGCAAAACACAGCACTCACTGGTTAAAAACAATTGAATAGTAAGAGACTGTTTGCTGTTTATTTTTGTGATCCTCATTAACTAAGAAGTGATTTCGGACGAGAAAATTGCAAGACGAACTCGCATAATTCAACGGTCAATGTGCAAACCGACTGTATGTCTTCAGTATTCAGTAATAAGGATAGGAGGTCTATTGGCCTATTTTAATCCTTGCAGTTTGTTACACTGTGGAGGTCCAATCTCGTTTTGAATATATCAACAGAAGGTGCTGATATTACGTGTTCTGGTGGAGAATTCCAGTAATTCGCTACTCGGTGCGAGAAACGAAACTCCCGACGTAGACGATTTGTGCTGTGACCAATAGGAGCAAGTAGGCACTTGATACAGTGGCCGATTACACGCTGACCATAATCGCTCAATAATTATGGCATACGTGGGGTTTGTACAGTTTGATACCGTCCCCTTAAGTGTTTAGATTGACATTCGGTATGAAACGACCGAAATGAGTGATTCGTTGTGGTAGCGAACACTAACAAGCTTTTCTCAGTCACTGCTATATTGAAGACTATTTTCGTGGGTTTCAGCCACGTGATTTAACCCGTTTGACCACAAAATGATTAACATCATTTCACAATTGACGTTGTCTCTAAACGAATGCGGATGAAAGGGTGAACCTACGGATATTGAGTTCCGACCATGAAATGTTTTGTTTTTGAGATGATGAACACTTCTCATATTTGTCCCCAAGATAGAAGACACCTAGAGCAACGTCTGAATCGGCAAGTTGTTACAATACTAATGTGAGGTTCAGATACAATCAATTATCTGCGACGATAATATTGGACGAGTGGATATGCTA